AATAGGCAGGGTTGCTTAAATTATAAAGGCAACAGGTAGCAAAGACCAAAGTAGCTTATTTGGTCCAGAACAATCCATTAACCAGTCAAAGAGCAACCGTAACAGGCTTAAGTGCTTAAGAAAATACTACTCCCACAGTTGACCTTTGAAGAACTATCCCCCGCTTCTCAAATTTCTTACATTAAAGACCACAATTCAACCCCACAGACCCAATTTTACATTAGTCTCTGGCTTATAATGGCTTAGAAGTCAGTCCTCCTGTGTCAATTCCTCCTCTCCCACCCCCCTTTCAGAAATCTCTTTCATGAAATCTCTGAGAGAAGACTATTCAAGCCCTCTCACAGAATATGCTGAAAAGATCTCTGAAACTGGAAAAACTTAAACTGGATTCCAGCCCAGGGTCTGCCATTCACTATCTAAAATGTCTTGGCTCCCTGGCAGATGTAATTCAGTGGTTAGAGCGCCAGCCCTCACACTGAAGGGTCTTGAGTTCGATTTCTAGTCAAGGGCACGTACCAGGGTTGCAGGTTCAATCCCCAGCCTCAGTAGGGTAGCATGCGGGAGGCAACCAATCAATGTTTCTCTCTCTCTCTCCCTCCTTCCTTACCTCCCTCCCTTTTCCCTCTCCTCCACTCTCTCTAAAAATCAATAAAAAAATATCCTCAGGTGAGGATAAACTATCAATTAATCAATCAATAAATAAAACTAAAATGTCTTAGGAGTAAGCAAGCCATTTCACTTCTCCAGCCTGTATTTTCATGCATAAGACATAGGGAGCCCAGCCGGTGTGGTTCAGTGGTTGAGCACCGACCCATGCACCAAGAGGTTGCTGGTTCGATTCCCGGTCAGGGACATGTCCAGATTGTGGGCCCAATCCCCAGGGTGGGGCATGCAGGAGGCAGCCAATCAATGTTTCCTCTCATCAATGTTTCTATCTCTCTCTCCCTCTCCCTTCCTCTGTCTCTAAAAATAAATAAAGAAAAAAATTTTTAAAGACATAGGGAAAGACCAGATGCTGTCAAAGGTCTCCTCCTTTTCTGAAGTTACATAATTATGATTTCCAGTGAGGCTCACTATTTCAAGAAAGAAATAATTTCATTTTTACATAGCTCTTATTGTTAGAAAGGACTTTCTAAAAGTCCAAATATACACATTCTTCAATCCTGAAATTCCACTTCTTGAAATCTACCCAAGAAAAATATGACTGCATGTACACAGGAGGAAAAAAAATCTTAGTATTGGTCATAGTAACAACTGATTAGAAACATCCATCACTAGAGAAATAAATATACGTGGTATAATACTATGGGACACTATGCAACTTAAAAGGATGAAGGAAACTATATCCTCACTATTGTGAAAAGACCTCCAAACCATACGTTAAAAAAGAAAAATTGCAGAACATAGACATTTTGATGCCATTTATAAAAGGAAAAAACGATGAAGGTTTACACAGGACTTTCGAAAATGATGGAAATGTTCTGGGTCCACCCAGTCTCAGTCCAATAGCCAGGAACCCATGCCTACTGATGTGGCTATTGTGACTGAAAAACTGAATTTTAATTTTAATTTTAACTACTTTAAATTTAAATAGCATGACAGCACAGGTCTAGAAGAACAATCTAAACTCTTAACAGTGGTTAGTTCCGTCTGGAGAGGAAACTAGATGGAAGGTAGGGGTAAGCCAAGGCAAACATTTGCTTTATCTGAATTATCTGAATATTTTAAAGCAACTAATGCTTATTATTTACATAAAATAAAATTTAAAAATAAAAGGCCTTGCTAATACTGAGCCAAAAATCTGCATATGAAGCACCACAAGAATTCAGTTTTTCTCCTTTGCTTTCGACATACCTAGAAAGAACTGGGCAAGTATGAGAGTTTTCACAAATAAAATCCTTTAAATTATATGTCCTCACATTTCTCTCCCTTCTTTGCATCCCCCCCCCCTTTTTACAACTATAGTAACTTCTGGTACAAAAGGCTCAGAAATACAATTATAAAAGGCTATTGACCAATTATCAAGGGAGCAGGGCATACTTTCTAAGAATATTTTCCAACAGAGGGGATGGATTTTCCTATACAGAAAAGAAAAGAGAAGAGAAGAAAAGAGAAGGAAAGAAAAGAGAAGGAAAGAGAGAGAGAGAGGAAGAAAGGAAAGGGGGGAGGGGAGGGGGGGAAATTTTAGCTCCCTAAATCTTCTTAAGCCAGAAACAGAGCCAGAACCCTCTCAAATCACATGGCTCTGTGGTAGCTCAGAACAGCAACTGGAGTCAGGATATAAACATTTCTTAGACACTTCTCTTAGCGGTATGGCATACTCACCCAGAGTCTTAGCCCAGAATTCTAAACATTTAGTCATTCATTTGTTCATAAATATTTACTGAGTGCTGCTAAATGCCAGGCGATACACTTAGGGGAAGGGATACAGCAATAAGCAAGATCTATGTTGACAGAGCCTCTGCCCCCAAAAGCCTTATCCCTGAATGTTCTATTTGGGTTGGTAAACACTAAAAATCTTTGATTTCTATTCGTTCCAGACAATGCAACTCACTTACTTGTTGCTGAATACAACTAGGACCATGAGACCCACACAGACAAGCTTTATTCAAGTTTCTAATACGGGGAGGAAATCTATATAACATGACCAAATTCTCAAATACAACAGGGCAAGTCTAATGAGTAATTCCCAAATGTCCTTTAGACCAAGTTTCAACAGTCCACAACAAAAATGAGAAAAAGAAGTCTGACTCTAGGGATTCTTTTTATTATGAGATCATGTCCTTTTTTCTTTTTCTTTTTTCTTTTCTTTTGTATTAAAATGTTCTCTACCTCCTGAAATAACAGTTTTGGGTAGAAAGCAGGAAATACCTGTTACCTGTTGTTTTTTATTTCGTCTGTCTTTAAACAGTCTTTCCAACTAACAAGGCAGTAATCAATCCTCTATATCAAATATTTATTGATTTTTTTTTCCTTCATTGATTTTAAAAAGAGGAAGGGAGAAGGAGAGACAGAAACATTGATGAAATATCGACTGGCTGCCTCCTGCACACCCCCCATTGGGGATTGGTCCCACAACCTGGGCATGTGCCGATGGGGAATCAAACCAGTGACCTTTTGGTGCATGGGTCCATGTTCAACCACTGAGCCACACAGGCCGGGCTGTTGATATTTTATATGTCCATGTCACCCACCCAATTTAAGTACTCAAGAAAGTTCCCTCTGTTCTAAAATGCACATCCTAAACACACAAAAAAGGCAATTTACTCCTCCAACAAATATACCTCCATAAGAGTTGTCATTGCATTTTGACACAAGAAAAGGTTAAGCTTACTGACTGTTGCTGTATAATTTTCAAAAACATTAATATCACAGTAAAAGAGATTATAAAATAAGAGATTATAAATGTACAAAACATGCTAGGTCAGTGTGGCTCAGTGGTTGAGTGTCAACCCATGCACCAAGAGGTCGCCAATTCAATTACGAGTCAGGGCACATGCCCAGGTTGTGGGCCTGATCCCCAATGTGGGGCGTGCAGGAGGCGGCCAATCGATGTTTTCTCTCATGGATGTTTCTATCTCTCTCTCCCTCTCCCTTCCTCGCTCTCTAAAATCAATAAAGAAAAAATAAATAAATGTGCAAAAAGTCTAATCAAACAAAGTATATTGGTGACAGTAACAATTGTAATTGATAACAGTTACTTCAATAACAATAAAAGTAGCCAACTTTTTAACTGTTATTTGTAACTAGTCTTAAATATCCACACTGAAAAAGGAGGTTTACATTTATTAAGCTCCAGAAAAGGGGGTGAGGGGATAAGAGGGAAAATAACTTGTTAATAATAATACAGACTCTACCATATAATTAAATTTATCACTAGCAATGCCAAAATTGCAAATTTCACTTAGTACTTGAAAGTGAGACAAAGCTCCCACAGAACATCCATTTCTCCTCCACTCACCTGCCCCCCCCCCAAAAAAAAACATTTGTGCTTACCTTCTGGTAACCTGCATGCTTTTATGTAAGGGTTAAAATGTAGGAAGCTATTACAACATAGCATAAACAAAAAAGTTTTCAAGTGAAGCAAGTCTAAATTCCGCAGATGTGCCGGGCTGGTGTGGCTCAGTGGTTGAGCATTGACCCATGCACCAAGAGGTCACTGGTTCGAGTCCCAGTCAGGGCACATGCCCAGGTTGTGGGCCTGATCCCAAGTGAGGGGCATGCAGGAGGCGGCCAAACAATGTTCTCTCTCACTGATGTTTCTCTCTCTCTCCCTTCCTCTAAAAAATCAATAAACAATTTTTTTTAAAAAATAAATAAATTCTGCAGATGTGCCTCTTACTTTCAATGTGTGACCTTGGGCAAGTCATTCAACCTCTTCAAGCCCCACTAAGCTGTAAGCTCCAGAAAGCAAATACCAATTCTGTACTATAAGCACATAGTATTGAAATATCAGTTTCTTCTTGTATAAAGTAATGATGCTAACAATACTTGTCTCCCAGTGGTAACTGGACAATTAAATTAGATATTATATATATAAAGCTCTGGCATAGTGCCTGATCATAGTAAATGCTAAAAAAAAGTTAAATGTTATTAACGTCAAGTAGCAGCTATCGAACCTTAAAGTAGTTTGAAGACTTTCGAATACTAAACACCAAAGTCCATACCCAGTAAGTGCAAGTTGCTGAATTAATAAAAGTATTTCACACAAAACGTACGAATCGTTTCTAAACCACTAGGCTGGCAATCTAACAGATGAACTTGAATTGTGCGTAACAAACCCAAGCTATCAAAAGACATTCAGTAGACTCCAAGTTTTTCTACTTCAAAAAATAGACCATAAGCATCCTCCCCATTGGTTTCCTAATCTCCCCTTTGGACGTGTCTGGCTATCAGGGAACCCCCTCCTCCCCGCTTAGGGGGAGGAGAGAGAAAACCTCCGAGGAGGGGGCCAGGGTTGGGGAAAAGCGCGCATCCCTGCGCCATTCGCCCAGACCCACCTTGAGCAGGATGGATGGCGGCAGCTGGTTGATGTCTGGGGTTTCGGGGGGCGGCTCCCTATGACAGTCGCAGGGGTTTTCGCGGGGCTCCTGACAGTCCGCGTCGCCGCATTCATGCTGCTGCTGGGCAGGCGAGGGGGCGGTGCTCCCCGCTCGGACGGCGTCCCCGCCGGCCTCTGTGGGGGCACCTTCGGAAGTGGGAGAGGAGGGCGGGGGGCAGAGAGGCTGCGATGGCTGCTCGGAGCCCTGGCAGCAACCGGCATCGGGGGGCCGCGGAGGAGAAGCGCCTCCTCCCGCAGGCCCACTGCCGCCGCCGCCGCCGCCGCAGCCCCCGCCGCCGCAGCGGGGCTGCTTACAGGGGGTGCAGGCGGGAACCCCGGCCCCCTTCCGCTTGCACACCATCTCGGGGGGAGTGGGGGGCTCGGCTGGCGGCGGCGTCGGCCCCCGGAAGAGTTGCACCGCGACGGGCGGCCCCAGGAAGCGCACGGGCCCCACGCTGGCCAAGAAGAGGCTCCGGCCCTGCTGCTCCCAGGCGGCGGCGGCAGCCAGCCCCAGCTCTTTGCAGCAGGAGGCAGGCGACGAGGCCGAGGCGGCGGCGGCGGCGGCGGCGGCGGCCGAGGAGAGCAGGAAGCGGCGGGCGGCGGCAGCGCAGTCCTCGGCAGCCAGGGCCGCGTAGCGCCGCGCCAGGTGCTGAGAGGAGGCGGCCGCGGCGTAGGCCCCGTCCCGCGGCGGCGGCGGCGAGAGCGGCGGCTCCTCCTCTGGGCCGGCGGGGGCGGGAGCGCCGGGGCTGTGCACGATGAAGCAGAGCATGCAGGGCCCGCGGAAGAAGCAGTCCCGGCTCCGGGGCGCCGCCGGCTGGGGGGGCGCCTTGGCCGGGGTCCGGCGGGGCAGCCTGAGGAGAGGGCGACGGCGGCGACACCAGCTGCAGCAGCGAGGCCTCTTCTGGCTCGGGCGGTTACGCGGCTCCTTCGAGAGAAGGTGGCCCATATAGAAGGCCCCGAGGAGGGGGACCGGGACGGGGAAGTAGGGAAGCCCGGAGAGGCGGGCTCCCGGCGGCGGGGCAGGCCGCTCGCTGGCTCGGGCTCGGGCCCGCGGCAGGGTCGCCCGCCCTGCGCACACACACGCACACACGGGCACACACGCGACGGTGGGGGTGGGCGTCAGCTGCGGGCCGCCTCTGCGCCCGTCGGGGGCTACATGCTTTGCCCAGGGATGCCGGGAGAACGATGGGCGCGAGCTTTGGGGACGCGACGGAGAGAGCGAGCCTGCCGGCTGGGCGACCAGTCCGAGCCTGACCCCCCGGCTCAGTCAGTCACTGCGGCGGCGGGGGGAACGCAGGGTCCCGCTCGGACCATTTTAACTGCGGCTCCGCCGGCGGCGCGCGCGCCCGCGACACAGCTCCGAGCCGCAGGAGCGCGCGGCCAGCTCGGGGAGGGGGCGGAGCCGGCGGCGGCGGCGCGCTCCGGGCGGGGGTGCGGCGCCGGCTGTTCACCGGGACGGCCGCTAGGCAGGGAGTGCCGGGCAGCTGGCCGCCAAGGGCGCGGGGCTCGCGGGGAGCGGCGCGCGCCCCTCTCTCCGGTCGCCCAAGGTTTCGCGGAGGCCGCTGGGGCGGGAGGAGACGTTTCCGAGCCAGCTGTGTGACATCCGTTTGCAAAGCCGCGCTGACGTGTGTAGGTGTAAGTTCAAGAACTGCCATTGGCCGGGAGCCGCTCGGCTCTTCCGCTCACCCCCCACCCCGGACTCCGAGACCGTGGCCACTTAGGAGCGGTAAACAGTGTTCCGCCGGAAGGCCGACCTGTGTCCAGGGCTGCCTTCTCGGTGGAGCCGCAGATGGGTGGCGCTTGGGTGGTGCGCTCCGGTGTTCTCACGTGAGGGGTTAATTGGCAGTTGCAACACTACTGTGTTTCTCCACTTGTTTTCATATTTTGTTACTTGTGGCAGACTACTAACTGCATAACTTTATTTCAAGATGAAAGTATGTATCAAATTAGCTATACACCAGAAAGTTTCTCAGCCCAGTGAGTCATCCGGCATCCCAAGCTAGAAGCTATACTTCTGCATCCTCGGAGTGCCATTTATCTATCTATCCATCATATACTTTAAAACGATTGTGCAGTACCCACTAGATGATAAAATGATTCTAGGTAGACCTTGGTTACTCAAATGAGAAAGAGGAAGTTGGCTTTGCAGACAACTCTTTAGAAGATTTGACTATATGATACCAGAGAGTCGGCAATATCTAGAGTGGTCCCTGGTGTTGAGAGGTTAGCTTTCACAAGGGAGAAGAAATTGGTAGAGGCTTAGTGATGGGAATAAACCAATATAAAGGAGGGGTAAGGAGATAAGAAGTAATACAAGGCCCTTGAGAAGATGGAATACCAAGTACCTTAGGAAGGATTCCATCTGCGCTGTGATCAGAAGGAATAAGGAAAGGACGGTGAAGGATGGATACAGATAGGTGGATGTTTCTGGCAAGAAAGTGAAAGAGTTTCTTTCAAATGGTCTCTATTTTCCTTTAAATGAACCTGGTTACCTGCTGAAGGGTGGAAAGAAAGTGGCAGGTGTTTTTAAAAACTACTAAGGGTAACTTGAGAGAGCCGAGGAAGCAATATTACAAGACTCAAGGCCCATCTACGTAGATACCATTGTTTGAGCCTGTGTGACCTTCCCACCACAGTGGCTAGCCTCACCCAGCCTTCAGGCAAACATACCATCAAACCTTAGCTATTAATAGGTTCTTTGTCAAGAATGACTTTTATTTCAGGTCTGCCAATATTCAGGGATCTTCCTTTCTGAGCTTGATCACAGTGAGATGGAAGTCCAGGAAGCCTAGAGGCAAAGATTTCTGAAAGGGTTTTATGTACGTGTTAGTCACTATCAAATGCATTGCCCAAACTGTCTTTACCTACCGATAGTATCCACACAGCTTTCATCCCTCTGGCTGTAGAGGGATCTTCCTGGGCCCCAGAGCTTAATTCTTGAGGATGGGAGGTTAGGAATTTCCCGAGGCCTTGTAGCATTGTTTGCAATCTCTACCAGGCTACACTGTGAACAAAAGGAGAGGGGTTCTAAACTTCTTTATTACTTTCACTGTGTCAAAAGTGTGGACCATTAGTTTCGTATAAGTGAAACACACACTATGACCTAGCGGTTTCATTATAGGTATTGATCCAAGCAAGATAAAAGCATATATCTACAAAAAGACTTACACAAAAATGTTTATAGCAGCTTTATTCGTGATCACCAAAATTTAGAAGCAGCCTAGATGTGTATCAGTAGAGAATGCATAAATAAGCAGGTATACTCATTCAGTGGAATTCTACTCAGAATTTTTTTTTTTTTAATGAAGAAAGAAAGAAAACAACATGGATGAATCTCAAAGACTTAAGCTGAATCAGACTGTCTGGAATTAGGGTCCCTAGAATCTCTACCTAATTTTAACAGTCTCCCCTTGTGATTACTGCACAGACAGCCTGACACCATGCAAACCTCTCAAGAACTACACATATAATGTAACTTCTTGTTTCAGAGATGAGACAGTTGACTGAGACTTTTGAAGTAGTTTCCAAATTTCACAGCACTAGTTCCAATTCCAGAGACTTTCGGCTGCTTTTCTCTTTACCACAGCATGTAGCAGAGGGTCTTGTATATTACAGTAATGATTAAGTAAACTATTGTCACCAGAGCTATGAGTATTAGAACTCACTACCCTAAATAATAATACTAAATAGTCAAGAAACAATTACAAGTAAGTTATAAATTGCTATTTAGAGATAGTTGTAGCACTTGATGGCTTCGTTACAAAAAGAAAGCAGCCTGAACAACTGGGAGCTGGCTGCAGCTGTTAGGTAGGCCCTGGTGTCATTGCCATTCTGATAGGTCTGAGTGTTCAGTTGAACATAATTTCAGAAAACATCAACATTAGACAAGACAAAAATAAGACCCCCTCCATAAATATGCCTAACCACAGCAAATACAATGATATTCTCCAAACCACCAAAATGACCATACATTCTAGCTAATATAAAGTGACTCTGTTCCCTGACCAATTATAACCTTAGCCTTGCCTTATTCTTCGTACTTTCTAGATAACAATTAAAATATCCAGTCATAGAATTACCTCTGCTTCTTGACAACATCCATTTCAGAGCAAAGCCTTGAACCCTCCACAAATCACCTAACACAAGCCCAATCCTATAATAAGTCTTGACAATACCTTCATACCGAGACCCTCCAAAGTTCCTCGTGGTGTGTTACCTGCTTCCTTATGCCAAGCCAAGAATCCCAACTTGGTTTGACTATGGATGTGTTCCTGCTGGTCTTTGGCCGGAGGGCATTCACATTTGTTATAATCAGATGTCACCACCTTAGCAAATAACTCCCTCCTTTTGCTGTACACCTTACACTTATGCAGTGCTGTATATCAATTATATCTTAATAAAAGTGAAATAAAATAAAATGACTTCTTCCTTGACTCTTTCCTCTTACCCTGTTTTTATTTATACCTCATTATCACATATTTATTTTGTCTTTTTTCACTTCCAGTTCCTTCCAGGAGAATTGAAGCTTCATGAGGATGGAGACTTTGTTAGTTTTTTAGGAACATAATCTAGTAACTGCATAGAAGACAGACTAGAGTAGGAAAAAACTCTTAGCAGAAAGATTGTTCAAAGCGTTGATGGAGAAGCCTTAAAAGCATGAATTAAGGCATTCGTGGGGATAATGAAGTAGGGGTAGGATTGAGAAACATTTCTCCTGTGGAGTTTTCAGGACTTAGTGACTTATTCATGAGTTAGGTAGATAGGAAGGGATGATGGGTAGGGAAGAAATGAAGAACCCCCAAATAATGACATTTGAATATAATGTATTTTTAATTTTTTTTCTTTATTGATTTGAGAGAGAGAGAAAGGGAGACTGAGATAGAAACATCAATGAGAGAGAACATGGATTGACCACCTCCTGCAAGCCCCCCCCCCCCTGGGAATTTGGCCCACAACCTGGGCCTGTGCCCTGACCAGGAATCGAACCTGTGACCTCGGTGCAGGGATCAATGCTCAACCACTGAGCCACACTGGCCAGGCCGCATTTGAATACAATTTAAACCTGGGGCAGAACTGTGTTATGACAGATTCACACTGAAAGGCAGTATATAAATTTAAAATGTTAAAAAAACAGTAACAGTAAAGCTTTTTCTTCTTTGACACATTTGCGTATAAATGAGACCCATGCTTAAAGGCTTTAATGCTTGCAGATGGGTAAGGATGGTTGTTATAAATAACTAAAATATCCTGTGATACCAAGGACAGCAGTAGAGCACAGTTAACATGCCATTGATCCCACTGATTGTGATAGGTACAATGGACGGCTTCAAAGGACACTCTGGGGGCAGATGACATTGTTTTATTCATCCAGAAAGCATGCAACACCCCAGGTGTTCAATTAAGTCCTTACTGAATTGTGTTTTTGTTGAAATACTCAAAGCCAAGGATAGCAGAGAAAACAAGCTTTCAGATAATTCCCTTCAGGAAGACAAACTGTACTCTTGAGTAGTTTGTTTCAGACATAAAGTTTTCAGCTGCTGCTTGGACTGTTCTTCCCTCAGCTCTTCTGACTGATTGGTGCTCATCTGCAACGTCTCAGCCCAAATATTGCTTCCTGTCACAAGAGCTCCTCTCTAGTTACTCTGTCACACCTCCCTGTTCATTTCCTTCACAGCAGCAACCATAGTCTTCTGTCGTGGTGTTTCAGTATTGGTTGATTATCACATCCATAGGAATTAACCCCTACTTTGTTTACTTGGGTATCACCAGCACCTATAAATCGCTAATCAACTGCTTTTTTTTGTAATCCTCACCAGAGGACATTTTTGCATTTATCTTCAGTTAGAGCGGGAGGGAGAGAGGGAGAAAGAGAGAAACATTAATGTGAGAGAGACATACTGACTGGTTGCCACCCACATGACCCCAAGCACGGCTGCGGACAAACTGCAACCGAGGTACATGCCGTTATTGAAAACTGAACCCAGGTCTCTCTGGTCCACAGGCCGACAATCTAACCACTGAGCCAGACCAGCCAGGGCTCAACTGCATTTTAAAAGGAGATTATCTGGGTGGGCCTGATGTAATCAAGTGGGCTCTTTAAAAGAAGGTTGAGAAGTCAGGGAGATTCAAAGTGCTGGATGCTTTGCTGTTAGCCTTGAAGTGTGGAGAGGGCTATGTGGCAAAAAAAAGGCAGGTGGCCTGGAACTGAGCAGCCCCTGGTTGCTGGCCAGCAAAAGGCTGGCCCTTAGTCCTACAGAATTCTTAATTCTGCCCACAAATACATAAGCTTGGAAGATAACCTCAAACTACAAAAGAATGTGTTGTCCTAATGACACCTTGACTTCAGCTTGGTG